TTAGGTGCTTTGCGAGCATGCCCTTATATAGCAAGGCCAGGAACGCCTGGCAAATATCATGAATTTTACACCAGCCAAAAAGTCTCAAAAATCCAACATTTAGGTTGGTATAAAAGTCATGATTTTCACCAGGCGTTCCTCGCTTAAGTATATATGGCTACATGGAGTATCGCCCATGAAGTTGGTGTTTTTTAACTTAATTTCACCATTTATCTTAAAGCTTTATAAATGGGATATTATTAGAGAGTATTAAAGATAAATGGACTTTATTTGGTTTTCCGATATTCACCTTGAATGAGAGTCCGTGTTTTGGGTAGAATTTAGGTGCTTTGCGGACATGCCCTTATATAGTAAGGCAAGGAACGCCTGGCAAATATCATGAATTTTACACCAGCCAAAAAGTCTCAAAAATCCAACATTTAGGTTGGTGTAAGAGTCATGATTTTCACCAGGCGTTCCTCGCTTCAGTATATAAGGCTGCATGGAGAGGTGCCCAAAAATTGATATTCAAATCCAAAGGGAAAAGATATAATGTAGATCATCAACGTTCTTCCATTTCATTTTATTTTTTTTAGAAAGAAATCACAAGGAGGTGAGGATTTTGATTTTTTTTCCACTTTGAATGGGATGTCCTTTTTTACATTTCTGATTTTCTCTCTTTTCCTCTCCTTTTTAATATTTTCACTGGGATAGTCAGGGACACAGTAATTCAAATGCTTCACATATTTTTGTAATGTTGTACTTCTTTATTACCAAAATATAAAACAATTTTGCAATAAAAAGTGACTGAGACCACATTAAATATAGTGTTGCTGAATGGTGAATGTGTTTGTTGTTTGAAAATAAACCTCGATAGTTTGAGGTTGTTTTTTTAAATAATTAGACCAAAATTATTATTGGTAACAGAATGAGCTCATATTTTTCGCTCGAAAGCTTGATAAAATATTGAGGAAGTTGACTATTGTATCATTTTTCCACTACTTATCACTATATTTAGGTATCCATGAAAGAGTATCATATAGCTAGTACTGTATTTAGTACTAAAGAGAACTGATGAAGTAATAGAAAGCAATAGTTATTGCATTCTTCTGTACTATTTAGTGCAAATAACATTTACTGTGTCATGGATTAAGCTTGAGCACTCTAACAGCTTTGCAACTTTCAACTAAAATGAAAAAGTAAATCTTCAGGTCCTTTTTACAGTTGACCAGCCTACTTTCACAGGAAAAGGGCTTTTTTTAGGATACTATGAGATATATGGGGTATAAAAAATTCAAATGTTGTAAAAAATATTAATCCCATGTTATTTATACCCTAGTAAAAAAAATCTATCAATCAACAAAAGAACAGAGCTTTTCAACTTGGACCTAATGTTTCCCAGTTTAAACCCATCTTACTTTGAGTGTGATTTCTTTCTTTAACGAAAACACCTAAATTATCTGATTTAAGTGGGAAACTTTTAGGTATAAGCTGAAAATTCTATTGATTGTAGTAATATATATTTATAATATACTATTTTGAATTGAAATAATCAAAATTAAAATAAAATATATTTTTGCTATTCCTGATAGAGTGATTTCATTTGAGCAAAAATTCAAAAATTGATCGAAGGGAACTAATAAAAAATAAATAAATAAAAAGAAGAAATGAAGAAAGAAAGATAAGAAAAAGAAAAAGAAGTTAAATGAAGTCTAGCTATAATAGCCAAAAAAATCTAAATCAACAGATGAGTATTTTTATCTAACTAATAAATCTTCACTAGATGTACAAATATCATTATGGTAGCTTAAATATAATCAAGTAATGTTTTCATTGTAAAAACATTCGAGTATCTACAAAAAGGATTGATATTTATAATTATTAATTTCGATTTCTGTTGTGTCAAGTGATGAAAAAACGAACCAATCACAGTCCAGCTGTTTTTTCATTGGCTGAACAATCGACATTTTTCGTCAACTTTTTCCCTAAAAATTTTGTTTTATAAATGGAAACATTTTAAACTAGAAATCCTAGCTCCATGTAGGTTTAAAAGTAYTCAAAGGATACATCCTTATAATTTAAATTAGATTCATTACAACAGCACAGCTGTCTTTATTCACTCTATTATCCATCGTTTCTTCACATGACAGCGCAAAGTGAGCTCGTAGTTTTTTCACTTCCTTTCTTTATTATGTGCTTTTCGTCCGAGCTTTTCGAGCCAGATTTTGAAGAACTTCGTAAACTCTTCTCCTCTTTGCCTGAGTCGCTGCTGTTTGACGATTTTGCTTTAGAGTGTACAGAGTCTTTAGAGTTTGTTCGAGGTATTCGTGCCTGTGAGTTCGTTAGTGATAATGGTTCAAGGTGAACACGAGAGACACGACTTACTCGTGATTTTCTCAAGTCTGAAGCGGTTCTACGTAAGATATCCTCAACTGGTGAGTTCGGAGTTTCGGAACCTAACTCAGCGCCCTTTCTGGCCACTTCTAGTTGGGATTCTAGGTTCTTGACCTTTTGAAGAAGACGTTTGTTATCTGATTCAAGAATTTCCATCTGAAAGTAAGAAAAGGGTTTTTGAATGATTAGAAGGATGGTGAGTTGGGAAAGTGAACAGAGAAAGAAGGAGCAACGAGAAAAGTTAAGAAGAGAGTGAAATTATGATGGGGGATCGGTGGGTTGATGGATAAATGGA